GAGACAGCCACGGGTGCGTGGCTGTCCAGACAGAAAGGGTTCATTCAGGCAACCAGCCAAGGGTTGCGTTGATTTACACACAAGCAACCCCTAGAACCATTACAGTACCCCTCTTTGCTACGTCTTCTAGAACATTCCAGGATGTTTGTTAGGATCAGTGGTGCTGTAAGGACAGGACTTTAGGCCCCAACAAACAGAATGAGCAAGAAGACCTCCAACTGCAAAAGGGCTAGCTATTTTGAATACACATTGCCATCTAAAACAGCACCCTCTGCAAGACCATTTAGCTCAGAGTCTAAAATTACCAAACTGCACACCCCAAACTCTCCTGTCACTGGAGTCCTGTTTGATTACTGAACACATGAAGGAGCTATCCAGAATATGCAGACTAACCCTCTTTTTCACTCTCCAGGGATTTGTAAACGCACCCCCCCCCCCCGGGTCTTAGTGCCTTGCCCCCAACCTGTATATTGGGCCTTAGCTCTAAATATGGACCTCATTCTCAGAAGTCAGGGTGTAATTAAATATGAATGGTGACATAACACAAATGTGCAAATCAAACTGAAAGCTGGAACTTGCTTCAAGGGATAATAAAGCCAACACATTCAGTAATCCAAGCCAAAATTTCATAGCATTGATTAATCACTCTTCTAATCTTATCAGGCAAAATTGCCCTGAAATAAGTGCAGTAGTAGTTCTGTAACACATTTGTCCAGTTGTGTATGTCTTCCACTCTTAATAAATTAAAATAAATTAATGAACAGAAACATTTATCTACTATTGTCTTAAAATGTGTGTTTGTAAAAACCACATTAAAATTGCTCATGATCTTCAGGGCATTTCTCCAGGGCTAATTTTCCAGTCACTTTTCTTGAGAACTGCTGACCACTCAATGTTATACAGAGCACACCCTGATTCTCTGCCTGTCCACTTGGCTGATGAGGGAAATTGCTGGCTATGCATGGATTGCACAGTTTACAATTATGTTAGAGCCAACAATATTGTATCTTAGAATCACAGAATTGTAGAGTTGGAAGGTACTCTGTGGGTCATCTACTCCAGTCCCCTGCAATGCAGGAATCCCAACTAAAGCATTCAAGACAGATGGCCATCCAAACTCTGTTTAAAAACCTCCAATGAAGGAGTCCACAGCCTTCCAAGGGAGTAAATTCCACTGTCAAGCAGCTCTTACAATCAGAAAGTTATTCCTGTTCTTTAGTCAGAATCTCCCTTCTTGTAACTTGAAGCCATTGGTTTTGGTCCTACTCTCCAGAGCAGAAGAATACAAGCTTGCTCCATCTTCCATGTAACAGCCCTTTAGATATCTGAAGATAGCTATCATATCTCTTCTCAGTCTCTTTTATCCAGGCTAAACATACCCAACTCCCTCAACCATTCCTCATCAGACTTGGTTTCCAGACCCTTTATCATCTTGGTTGCCCTCCTCTGCACATGTTCCAGCTTGTCAACTTTCTTCTTAAATTGCAGTGCCCAGAACTGGACACAGGACTCCAGGTGTGGTCTAACCAAGTCAGAGTAGAGTGGTACTATTACTTTCCTTCTATACTTCTGCTTATGTGGCCTAAAATAGCATCACACTGTTGAATCATGTTAAGCTTGTGGTTCACTAATACCCCTAAATCCCTTGCACACGTACTACTAGCAAACCCAGTGTCACCTATCTTATATTTGTGCAGCTTGTTCTTCCTGCCTTTGTGTAGAACCTTGAATTCCGATTCTGTCTTCTTTGGCATTCGCTGCCTATCCCAGTTTGGTGTCATCTGCAAATGTGATGAGCATCCCCTCAATACCTTTATCTAAGTTGTTTATAAAGATATTGAACAGGACAAAAACCCTGTGGCACCCCATTTGTTTCTTTTCCCCCAGGATGAGAAGAACAATTAGTGAGCACTCTTTTGGTGCGTCAACCAGCTACAAACCAACCTAAAAGTTATCTTGTCCACATTTTACCAGCTTCTCCACAAGAATATCATGGGGCATTTTGTCAAAAGCCTGATCTACCCAGCTTGTAACTATCAAAAGAAGAAATTAGATTTGTCTGGCATGATTTTGTTTTTGAGAAATCCATGCTAGGTCTTAGTAATCACAGCTTCCTTTTCTAAGTGCTCACAGAAACTGTTTAACTATCTGTTCTAAGTCTTTTCCTGGTATTGGCATCAAACTCACCAGTTGGTAGTTTGTTGACAATGCAGCTTTGGGGTTTTTTTATGCTTAAATTTGCCCCAGAAGCAAGCAAAGCTTGCAGATTTGTCCTGAGGGTCTATGGATTAAGAGAAATATTATATTTACTTCTATTATGGCAGCTTTCCCATTTCTGACTTCTTAGTGCAGCTAATAAAAACAGGCAGTATCCAAGTGAATGCTTCTGTTAGTCAAGGTCTTTTAGTTGTGCAATGAAACTTCCCTGCCCTCTCCTATCCCCATGTACCCCCTAAATCTGTTATGGTTCCATTGTGCAGCTAAAATATCTTGATGAGCAGAAGTGTTTAGTTGGATACTACCCAATACATACTTGTACCACAGAGAGACAAGACCCAGGGTGAGATGGGGTTGCAGCAGGAATAGCCAATGGGGTCTCCTTGCTATGCTGTTCAGCTACAACCTCCATTAGCCACAGCCAGCACGATTAATTGTCTGGGATAAGGGGAGGTGTAGATGAGCAACATCTGGAGGCTACCATGTTGCCTCTGTTAAAGTGCTGGAATAACATTGGAGAGACCCAAGTTGAAATTGTCATTTGGCCATGAATCTTCATGGAAGAACTTGAGTCAGCCATACTCTGCCAGCCTGACCTACATCACAGAGTAGTTGTGAGGGTAAAATGAGGTGATCATACTTGAGTTCCTTTGAAGAAATGTGCAATTCATAAATAACAAATGTTTACATGTCACTAACAGTATGATGTGGAATCTTATCTGCAAGCATAGACTGAAAACACTTCCCTCTCCCCCCAAAAGCTATTCTCTGTATTCCAAAAATGACGCGCTATATTTAACTTCACAAGGCCTCTGTACAGATCCTCAAATATTCTAATAACTACACAAACATTAATATTTAAATACAATACATCCTATGAGCTACAGAATGGTCCTAACTGTGGACAGATAAACTGCTTAAAAAAATTCTCTTTAGGAGTCAAGTGGGGAGGGAGATGTTGATATGATTGTCTCTTGTCATTGTAAAATTGGCAGCTGTTGGATGCAATATACATCCCTGGTAAAAACAGTTCAAGGAGGGGAGCAACTGCAGTGAAAATTAGTACTCTTACCCTAGCAATGAATGGTGCTATCAACAAAATTTGGGGGCAAAGCTTATAAAATTCTTTTACTTTCTGAAAAGTGCAATGTGGCAGTATTTAACTATGACTGTGGTCCTCACATACAGAGGTGCCCTAAACAGATGTAACTGCTGCTGTTCTCTTAACCATAGTCGGTAGATTGCTGGTGGTGTATGGAGTCACACAGTCCCATTTCCTCCTTCTTTCATAAATATAGATTCTCCCTCTTTCTTCCATTGTCTCTTTAGCTAGCAGTACATCTGCAATTATACTCTTTGTGATTAATGCTAGCTTGGTTGCTCTTACAGGTTTACAAACCTATTTCTAATGCTGGTTAGAATGGAAACTATGGTTAGCTAGCATAGGAGCCAACCCCTAGGGGCCAAGGTTCCTTTGCCCCCTCCCCATAAAATATTTGAGGGGGACCCCCGAAGTTAATGGGCACTGCCATTCAAATGCTGTGTGCGTGCCATATTTTGTGATTGATTTTTTAAATTCAAGTTGGCACCCCTGTTAGTTAGCAGTTATGGTGGACTGTTGTGGTGGGTTGTGTCCAATTAAGTTGCACAATAACATCTGCACGACAGAACTTTGTCTCCCTCTTCTCCCCCTGCACCCCACAAATCTGGCCCAGAGGGTTAGAAGAACCAGCAGAACCCAAACAGATGAGGAGGTCGAATGGAAGGAGAAGTTCTATTGGATGCAAACCAGTATTCCTCACAGGAGTTACTTAAGCCACATTTTCTGCAAAGCCTTGGACACAATGCCTTAATCCTCATTCTATTCAAAGGTAAGTCCCACAGAGTTTGCTGAAGGTTACTCCCAGGTAAGTGGGTAGTCTGAACAGTAGTATCTTTATTGACAATTGTAATGAAGAACAAACAGAAAGTGCCTACTCAGTACTTAGCAATGATTTATCCCACCACATAGAAACCACAAGCTGTGTGTATTTTTTTGTGTGTACCTGGATATTCCTGTATTACAGGGGGTTGGACTAGATGATCCTCAGGGTCTCTTCCAGTTCTACAGTTCTGTGCTTTTTTGGTTCTATGATCGGCGGCACTGTTGGTACCATTCTGCCCTCTTCTTGCACTCCAAAACATTTATCAGTAGAAATGGTACAAAACTGGTTTGCATACAAAGTTCTTTTAATAGAAGGCATCACCATGTTGTACTTAATTTCTGAAATGGTGGTGGTGGAGGGGAGGAAGTCTGGCTTAAGCCACGTCTGCAAGCTCTTTGCTGTATCCCATCTGTATGGCAGAGAGACAGTGGTTGTGGTGACTAAAGACATTCTGAATTGAAGATACTCTCCTCTTACTACAGTGGTACCTTGGTTTAAGAACAGTCTGGTTTAAGAACAATTTGGTTTGCAAACTCCGCAAAACCAGAAATAGTGTCTTGGTGTGGGAACTTTACCTCGGTCTAAGAACGGAATCCGAACGGTGGAAGGGCACCGGCGGTGGGAGGCCTCATTAGGGAAAGTGTGCCTCGGTTTAAGAATGGTTTCGGTTTAAGAACGGACTTCCAGAACGGAATAAGTTCATAAACTGAGGTACCACTGTATTTCACATTTCACTGAGTAACTCTAGAAACAAAGTTCCCATTACTATTAAGCAGAAATATTTTACATAGTAAAATTATCTTTTCCTACAACACTTTACTTTGTACTTATCTTATTGAGTATCCATTCTTAAGAAGCAAGAGAAGGGAATGTTCACTGGGTTAATATGCTTCATCAAGCTGTGTATTGGCCCAAAGGTGGTAGATATCGGTCAATGCAGAACTGCGTATTTTTAAATATAAAGTTTTTGTAAAAATAGAAAATATAAAGAATAAACAAACCCCCCCACATCTGAAATACAGGAACTGTTTCTGTGCAGTTAATTCCAGTAAACTAGTTATTACAAATGCTTTTATTTCTGCCCAGAATACTACTGAGTATCATAAAAGAAACTAGTTCACTATTATACAGTTTTCCATATATAAGGAAATAATGCAAAAGAGATAAGCCATTTTCAAAACAGATCAGCTTGTCTCTTTAGCAATGGAAAATGTCAGCCTAAAAATAACAAAGCTCTGTCTGTCCACATAGTTCTCTGCTTCACCTTCCTTGATCCCAGTCCATAAATCCTATGGGGAGGATTTGTGTGACATGTGTGTTCTGCATTACACCCAGTTGGTGTGATTATAAACCATAAATTGTGGCTATAATATTTGCATTAAATGTGGAAACTGAGCTGAAACATGTTTACTTGGAAGAGAGTCCTACTCATCATATTTCTAGCATATATGTTTTAGATTACAGTATTTATAATATATGAAATGGCATTTTGGGGAAGAAAGTGAATGTATTACAATACACAGCTCAGCTCTCCCTAATGGTGTTACTAATGCATCTCTATCAACTTATGGGATATTCTCTGTTGATCAGATCCCTGCTGATGAACAGTAAAGCAGATTTGATGTTATGTGAATAATTGTAAGATTATTATTTAAGATCAACATATTTTTTTTAATCGAGCTCACATGGGGGTCCCTTTCAACGTTACAATTCTATGATTCTACGATTTAAAGAAATTACAATAAGCCATTACTGGAATTCGCACATGAACAGAAAGAGGGGCATTAAATGCACTGATATGTCATCATTTGGATTCCCGGTGGCATTGTTGTTACTACGGCCTTTAGAAGACTGGGGTGAAATTTCCCAAGTCTGAATAATGGCATTCTGTCACTTAGTCTGAAATCTTCTCTTCTGCTCTCCAAATGGACAGAGCAATCTTCACTTTCTGTGTATCACTGTTGTGCTGCTGCTAAACAGATTGTCTGTTGTCCTGCAGAGTTGGTCTCATTTCACTAGTGGATAAAGCGATTCTTGCAAATAGCTTGCAAAATGATTTGGGATCCTTTGGGATGAAAGGCGTTATAAAAATGTGTAAAATTATTATTACCAGGGAGAAAGAAAGAAAAAACCCACCACTGTGTGTACTGTTTATATCAAGCGGGGAATGGGGAGGTGACTGTCTTATGTTAATGAAATGCCTGTTTCACCCTTATTACACTGGAGAAACTGTGGGAAAAGAGTTTATCATGTGAAAATACAACACCCATGTTCCTACTATAATACAGCAGAGGCCAATGAGACATGTGGTAATCTAAGGAGTGAGTGTTGATTGTTCAACTTAAAAGATGCTGGGAATGTGGAAGATGTATCTCACACTTTAAAAAAACCACAAAAAACACGGGAACTGCTTCAACTTGATTTTGCCAGGTTTCTTGGGATTTGCAGTACATTCAGCAAAGCAATGGCGTTGCTGAAGTACAACACATTGGAAAACGTAGGCCACACACAGCTGCTGTTACTCTGTTAATTGGGCAAGCATAAAAGTAAGTCAAGATGAAAACTTTGTTGCACTAAGATCTAGTTCTGACTGACAGTGACGGAGCTTCATGCTCTGGCACGGGGGGGGGCGCAGAGAGCAGGCAGGGGCGAGGCTGACATGCATCCTGGGGGGGGGGGCGTGCCGCCCGCAGGGGCAGGGCGTGCATCCTGGGGGCAGGGCACCCAGCGCAGGCGGGGGGCAGCCGCATTGGCACCCCACTGGGATCGCGCTGCCGGGGGTGGTGCGCTCCCCCCGCACTCCTCTTCCTCCGCCAGTGCTCACTGAGGTAGTAAAGTCAAAGTGAAGATTTTGGATGACAAAGCTCCTTTAATTCTTCATTTTAGAGAGCAGGTGAGGGCTTACAGATTAAGGTTGCGGTCCTGTGGTCTCTGGGAGGACACCAATGGGGCCACAGAACTGCCAAATTTCCCACTTTGAGGGGAGAAAGAGAAGCTCATCCTCAGAATAGGAGTCCCTAGGGAACATTGGGAACAGGGTTGTGGACCTTAAGAGCTACCAACTTCCCATTTGGCTGACACACTCCTGGAATGGGATAGGTGGGGGGACAAACTACACCAGCCTTGGAAGTGACAGAGCTTGTTTTCTTTAATGTAAGGGAAACTGTTTCAAAAACAAAAAAACGGAATATGAGAAATGGTTCATCTGCCTTTGGCTCTACCTCCGTCTGTCCTCTTGGATTGCTCCACTCATGTTGTCAATAATGTGAGCCCACATCTGAACTGAGAAGTGCTGTAGCCCAGATCCATAAGGTTTGCCACCTCAGTGAGAACTAAGCTATCTATCTAAAAATGTTCTGCAAGAAAAGTAAAAACATTTTTTTAACCTTTGTTCCCTTGCATTAAGTTTGGCTGTTGAGATCAGAGTGAAGACTTTGGATCACAGAGCTTCTATTATTCTTCACACTATAGAAATAAAAAGATCTGCACTTATGCAAATAGCTACAATACTTTGAAATAATGTTCTGCTAGCTAAATGTATTTTTCAATGTACTATTTAATTATGGATATGCTTGATTTAACACTTAGTACCAAAATGCTAAAAATCTCAAAAGTGCTAAAGTCTACAGGAAGCACAATATTGCTGTATTGTGTGCAAAAGCATTTTAAAGATTCTGATTCTGGGAGAGCTTTATTGAAAACAGTACTTACTTGTCTCTGGGGCCTAGTGCTATCCAAGTGTGATACAGGGAAGGAGAAAGAGGAGAGAGAGAGAGAGATGGCCCTTTTGACACATAAATGCTGGGCACAAGCTAGCTAAAAGTATACACATTCAAGTCCCATTGATTTCAAAGAGAGATTTTTGCATTTTTAAGTTGATTGACTTAAAAAATTAATCAACTGTAACGGCCCCAGTTCATACATCTGGCATGAATATCTACTATTAAGGCCCATTTAGAGTGCAATATCTGAAGGGTACCGCAATAGCTACTCCTGGTGTAGACAATGCTGAGCTAAGATGGACCAAGGGTCTGATTTAGCATAAGGGGGCTTCCTAAACAGAATGGCAGCCTTAATTGTGTATCAATCATTTCTTGGATTGGCATTAGAAGCTTTTGTAAATATTCATGGTCAATTAGGATATGGAAGATGAGCATGAACTTCACTTGGGGCATTTCAAATTTTGCAAGTGGTGCTATACTACTTTGCAAAAGAAAAGAAAAAGGAAGGAAGGAAGGAAGGAAGGAAGGAAGGAAGGAAGGAAGGAAGGAGAAAAGAAAAGAAAAGAAAAGAAAAGAAAAGAAAAGAAAAGAAAAGAAAAGAAAAGAAAAGAAAAGAAAAGAAAAGAAAAGAAAAGAAAGATGCAGGTTCAGGATGTTTTAAAATGAATTTACAAATAAGCTTTTTGGCTAAAAAGAAACAATACCAGAAATAAAGACGGATACTTAAAAGTTATATTGTGTTCCCTATCTTCTGATCATATTACATGTCCACCATGTCTACTTTTATATCTTTTAACTCCATATTTTTACTCTTTCACCCCTGCCTCTGCAATTTATTTGCTTCGTCTGATATATTCTGGCACACATTCAAATAACATAGTAGCTAAGTGAAATAGCATATACTTTCTACATTGCATTAACAGGAATTATTAAGTGGTATTACTGGGTGGTTTTTTTCTTGCGCACATGCGCATGTGCGCACACAGTGGGGGAGAGAGAAATATGTTATCACTTCTGTATTTGAAATAGTAGTTTCATTTTGTTTTGAGAACTGCACATCTTTCATTCTTAGCTGGTAGGCTGACAAAACCAAAGCAACCTGGATAAAAATGAAGGGATTTCAACCACCGTGAAATACTGTGTGACATAACGGCCAACATAAAGCCATCATTCTCAATGTTTACATTGGTACTGATTCTTAACAGCAGGACGTTAGCTCAATATAAAGCTATGCTTTTTCTAAAACAACTCCAGGTACAAGGAGAGCCTTTAACAACCAATCATGTTCCAGGTCTATAAAGAATTACACTACCAATCCAAACTGACATGTACATTAAAGCTCACCTATGGGCACCTTAAATTTTTACTCAAAGCCAGGGATTTACTCATCCCGAGAAACACAACCCCACAATAGCTGTTATGTACATATATCATTCCAGAAATCAATGGATGTTCCAAGTGTTACAGTTCCGTACATATCCAATTAACATATTACAATTAACCCAGTATATGACACCTAAAGAGAAAATTTAAATAAGGAAATTCACATCTCCCAGCGTAAATCAGCATGATGAAAAAGCAAGCATTGACAATGCTTAACAATTTGGCTGCTAGTACAACAGCCTGTTTCTTTGAAGTTATTTATGTCTCTGTAGAGTTGCAGCAAAGGCTGATGTATGCAAAGCCATAGTACTTAATGCCAGAACTGACTAGCTGCCAGCATGTTAGGGAAACAGCATTGCGAAGAGGATGTCCAAGGAAACCTGGGAGCACAACTCGATGTATGTTCACTCAAAGGTAAGTCCCTCCGAGTTTGCTGACTCCCAGGTAAATGGGTAGTCTAAATAGTAGTATATTGATTGACAGAAGAACAAATAGAAAGTGCCTATTCACTCCTTAGCAATGCTTTACCCACCCCACCCCCTTTTGGCCTGGAGACACTTTTACAGCTGCATTGGATTGTACAACCAGGTTCCACTTTAAAGTGGCTTCGCACATAGCAGCAATAAGTAAGACAATGTGGCGATTCACTCAAAAAAAAAGCAAAACAAACCACAACCCCTGATCTGCAACACGACAATGTGCAACTACTGCTGCTTTAGAATATTTCCCAATACTTGATAGCTAAACGTACATACATTGGTTCTGAGTTAAGTGAACAATAGGGGCACAGTACAGAGTGAGAGTTCTTAAAGGAAAGCAGCCTTCTATGCCTGAGGGCTTTGAGGGCTTGTCCATCATGCTTGCAAATGACATTTATTTATTTAAAATTGTGAACAAGCTCCTGTCTTTTGTGTGTGCCCAGCTTGCAAGAGGTTATTGCCATCCTGAAACAAGTTATGGCAGTGAACTGGGAATTTGGCAGTCTGGTACTGGTACGGAAAGATTCCTCTTAACCACGAAATCACTTGATTCCAGGCCAAGCGTAATAAACAACAAACTCTTGCATTAACAAGTCAAGAACTAGTGTGGCCCAGTGGATACAATGTTATGGCCACTTTACACATTACATTTTTAGGGATACACCTAAAAGGGTTTATGAATGCTTTAAAACTGCAGGATGTGAATGCGCCAAACAAAAATTTGGAAACACATATATATCAGTCATTCCTGGCTTCTTCTCTCTGAGTGTACACTTGACATCGTTCCCAGACCTGTCTCTGTGTAATGTGTGAAACGGCCCTTAAACTTGTGCTCAAGCTGCATTTCAGCTGCAGTCTCAAAAGCACTTTGTGGGATTAAAAAAAAAAAAAAATCCACACAGAAATGACTTCTATGCAGGAAGTACGAATCCTTCTTGTAGATCAAATACGACAATTGCGTTCATTAGGGTTTTGTTCCATGTCCTTTGCTGGGACAGGGCTGGCACCAGGTTGACAAGGCCCTGAGCAATGTTCCTTCCAGTACTTCTCCCCGCCAAGCTTACCAGAGTACGGATGACACTGGGCAGTGGCAGGCAGCAAAGGAAGCAGGCAGCAGCACAGCTCCAGCTGCACTCCCTTGGCCCAGAAAAAGAGAAGCACTACAGGGCAAGGCAGTTGCAGCCAGCACCACAAACATCCTCTTTCTTAAACCCAATCCCTGTAGGCATTGTCTCCAATCGGTACATGGAGGATGGAACCAAAAGGTTATATTAGGTAGGATCTATGTGTCTATGGCTTTAGGAACCATTTGGTCCATCTATTGTCCACACTGTCTGGCAACAACTCTAAAGGGCTGTAGTCAGTGTCGAACCATCTGCTTTGGGTGCAGAAAGTCCCAGGTCCAATCTTCAGCATCTCCTGGTAGGTCTGGGAATGTCCCTTCTCTGAAACCCTGAACAGCTGTTACCAGTTAAGTGTGGGCAATACTGAGCTCAATGGAGCAGTGGTCTTGGACTGACTCCATACAAGGCAGTTTCTCATGCTCCTAAGTTGGGTTAGGTTTATTTAATTTATGACTCACTTCCCGCAGCAAAAAAGCATGACAATGATTTACAACAAACGCGGCAATAAAAATACAGAAACATATTGAAAACGTTGGGTAAACACATCCAATCACTTGTGCTTCCTAAAACGCCCGAAAAAACAAAAACGTCTTTGCTTGGCGCCGAACCATTGGGGATAAGATAGTGGTGGCTGCACCTGCCTGGTCTAGCGCTTGTTTTTATAGTGCTGGGACATTACAAAAGCAAGACTTGTTTATTTATTTATTTAAAGAGGAGGCTGGCATCGGGTGAGGTGGGTCCCCAGCCTCGCTAGGGTTGCCATATGTCCTCTTTTTCCAGGACACGTCCTCTTTTTCATAGGTAGAGTCATCATAGCGATCCAAAGTTAAAAGTTTAAGTTGGCAAATGTGCCCTCTTTTTGGCTCTTCAAAATATGGCAACCCTCTGTCTCACCATGCCAGGTGCTGGTGCTATGCCTTTGCCAAGATGCCACAATTATCTGCAGTTCCAGAGAACTTACATACCACATTGATTCCCCACACTCTTCCCCTGCCCCACCAGCTTGTATCCTGCTTCCTGGAAGTGCTCTTGAAATGGCTTCCGAATGTTTAAAAATGCACAAAAATGCTTGCACAGGGAGTAAAGAGACTGCATGCATGGCAATCAAATCAGGCAACCCACAAAGAGGACCACATTATATCCTGCAAAAGAGAACCTCCCATGGATCTCACTTCCTCTCAAACTCCCATTCTTAGGTATTATTGCAAAATCAATAAAAGAAAAGATTGTGTCAGCGTTATATAAAAGTTGTGTGTCTCACCTCCTGCACTGCAAATATGGACAAAGATAGCTTTTTATACAAGCATGGATAAAGGGTAGGGATAATTTGTTAGAGACACTTAAATTGTGCACGACTCTTTGTGTCTGTTGTACATAAATATAGGTCAAACAGATTCCCTGAAATAATTGGTTGTGAATGACCTTACCTGAATTGCTGTTGCTTATGATTCATGGAGCTCCAGGCTGTTCGATGGTAAAAAGAGCAGAAAACTGGGCAAGGAACATAATTGTCAGATCATGTAGAAGAATAGCTGTCCATGGCTAAAGAAACAGATATAATAGGCCTTAAGTTTATTTTAGCTTTAGGATCATTTAAATCACAAGGATAGGAAACATATTGTGTCACCATGTAAAAGCCACAAGGCAAGTTTTAATGTGCCCTGAAAAAACAACACCACCATGCTGAATTTAACACCTTGGGGCAATTTCTGTATTAGCAATTATTCAGAAGTAATCTTTCACCTTTGATGTGTCAGGAGAGCAAGTCTACAGCCAGAAACCCTGATGGCTGAGGTGGGCAAAAGGTACACTCCTTCCCCCAGTGGCTGCTTCAAGCAAAATAAAAATTTGGCAAGAGAGCTAGTCACATGGTTCTACTACATCATGTGCAGTTTGACATTCAGGTACTTGAACAGATTGGATAGCCTATATGTTTTCTTTTGTATTGCTATAAGATTAGAGACATGTTGTATTTTTTTTAAAGAAACCAGAGAGTCAGAAGAAGATTGTGGAATTTCCCAGTCAGCCCCTTCCTCTGGAATCCAGAACTACAGACAAGAGCTTCGGTTCCCCTCTCAACCCCCACATTAAGCCCCAATGAGAGCCTTTTAAATGTGTCTGTGGGAAGGGGGTGTGTGTTATTGCTTTGCTGTTTCGTTGTACTTATTTACTTGTTTTTATCCTGTATTTTATTCTGTGAGCTGCTCTGCAATCTTCAGATGAAGGGCACTATAGAAATCTAATAAATGAATGAATAAAACAAGAGGTTTGCTGCTTACCCTGTGTGTGTGTGTGTGTGTGTGTGTGTGTGTGTGTGTGTGTGTAGAGATGAGGACGTCAAGTGCCTAGGAAATTGTTTGTCCCAGGGCTCTTTGCTGGGTTGCACACAACAGTATGTCAGTGACAAAAACCTCTTGACCATCATCATCATTATGTACTACAGCACCAGGAAAAAAATTACATGTTCCAGGGCCTTTGTTGTATGGTGGGCCTGACATTTCAGCACCCATGGATTCCTGGAAGAATGTAGGCCTCACAAAGAGGCCTTCCATTTGCAGCTGCCACCAATGCAGTTTGGATGAGGAAAGAGGCTGAGCTCATGAGTTTTGGGGTACACAGAGGAGTTGGGCCTGGGAGAGGTGTTTGAACCTTCCTGGTGATGTCATCAGGAGCGGGACAGGTTTCCAAATACAGGTGGCAGAACAATGTGGCAGCTTGGTGGTAGAAGTTGGGCGGGGGGCTGCTCTCGTGACCATGAATTAGAAAATCTAGATAATAAGGATAGTTCATCCCACTACCAGCACAAGCCAGGCAATTTCTGATATAATCTTTTATTCTATTATTCATCAATTAATAATATTTTTATATCACTTAATACACATGATCTCTACGCACCTTTTACATCTGTTGAATGATTTATAATGATTCCTCTGCAGGAAAATATTTCGTGTAATATGTCACCCCCACAACATGCCTAAAAATGATCCTGTGAATTGAAATTACTTTGTACTTAAGCAAAATTTTGCCAAAAGGCATCTTTATTGTTGGCAGGTCTATTATCATCTCATTTCTTCTGAACAAATACCATGCCTTTTGGTCTACTGGTAGGATTCCCATCATCGTGTATACCAGACCCAATTCAGCAAGGGCAAAGCCTGATTGAAAGCAGTCTTCCTTGTATGGATCCCGTTTCTGAATCCCACACACAAGGATGGCAGCCCTACCAACAGACTCCCTTTAATGGTTTCTATGGATGCTATTTTTCTAGCAAAGGAACCAGGACTCGCCATTAATGCCTCCCTTGTTCTATTATAATGCCAATGGCACCCACCTGAGAGGTTCCAGAACTGAGTTCCATCTGAAAAATGCCTTGGGCACATTGATCTGTGCTGGATTGGGTCTGGGTGAACCCCGAAAAGATTGCCAGCTTTGAGAAGCACTTGCCTGGGAAGGGTCTGGAATCCAGGCTCCTCTCCTTTCCAAATAGACGATTTGGAGTACTGCTAAGAATGTTGGTGTGAAAGGGTCTATGCACAAACATTCCCCAGGCAGATTTGTGGCTCTACACCCGGATTATTATTATTTTTTAAGTTATGCTTTTTATTAAACTGGATAAAAATAAGGGAAGACATGTTGTTTGATCAATTGCCCTGATTAAGTACAGGTTAAAGTCTGTAACCCAACACCTATTTACCTGAGAGAGAGCACCATTGAACTCAATGGGTCTTTCTTCTGAGCAGAGACATGTGTGAGATTGAAAAAGCATACCAGTTAATCAGCAAATTCCTTAGTCTGGGTTGTAGAGCAGGCTCCTTTGGGACTCCCAAAGGTACTTCTGGTAAGCAAAGGAAACACATTTACAATGGTGTGTGTAAATCAGCTTTCTTTTATTTAAATGATGTGTGGTAGAATCAGATCTTAAGCTTCATTAAGGATCCTCAACAAGCACCTTCTTTGAAGTTAAGTGTGCAAATACAACTGGTTAATTAATCGATCAAACCAGTTAAAAGCCAGAGAGCAAACCAGCTAATCCCTTTAAATCGCTTAGCACTTCTGTCTGCTCCTGTTGCATAAGGGGGGGGGGGGAAATAATGCACGCCTTGCTTTAGCAAGTTTTGGCAAAGCAGCTATCTGCGGGGAGGGACTTAACTGAGGCGGCTGTGAAGGATTCACCCTCCCGCCCTCGGCCAGACCGAACTCACCCTCGACAAAACATGGAATCATGCTGGAAGATTTGCTTAAGGGGGAAAGGTCCACTCCTTTTTTCAACATGTTGTAAATTTGCACAGCTTCACTGATTTTGATCTAGTTGCATGAAGCTGCTTTAAAAAAAAAAAAAGTTAAGCCAAGACTTTATCTCAGTCTCCTGCAATGTTCGTGAGAAGAGGAGAGAATTTCCTCTTTCTCTTTTCTCTTTCTCTCTTTGCCCGGGGGAGAGCAAGGCGGAGCGCCTGCGTTCTACGTGCTACAGAAATCCAGTCCGCATTTTGCACGCAGCCGGACTGTTCCTCTGGTTCAATCTATTTTTCTACTGCAGCCCAGAGAGTGACTGAGGCAGAATCACACGCAGTCACAGGATCAGTGGATCCTTGCACCATTAACTTACATGCTCCAGACTTTAGAGGAGCTGCAGAATTCAGTACCCAACTACTTTCCGTCGCCTACAGTTGAATGCTGCCCCACTCCAAAGCTGCGCCACCGCTCTGCAGCCCCAAAAGCGGGGAAACAAACCACTTTGTGGGAGCCTGAGAAGCAGGGACTATTTTCTCTTACTGTGTCCTCTCCTGGGCTGCTGTAATGAACAACATTCCTAGGTTGAAGCCTCCTCTCTGCTTTGTGCCTATTAGCTGTTCCCGTTCCCTCCCTCTGCTGCTTGTTTTCCGCCCTAATAAAGATCATACCGGAAATAACCATTGCAGACCTGCTTGCGAAGTAACTAGGAGTTGGAAGTTAAGTGCTTAAGCCTCGGGATCTGCAAGGACGAATGTTTTGGACAGTTAACATAATTGTTTCTCCTGCAAAGTGCCAGCAAAAAAAGAAAGGAAACAGAAGAAAGAGGGGGGGGGGAGCTGTGTGCAATTGCTCCACATACATCAAGAGTTGTCAGTAAAATCAAACTGACGTCATCTCTGTGTAAAAAGGAGCTGTGTCTTTTGTTCTTCTCTCTCCCCCCCTCCACCGCCCTGTATATCAAGATTTAAAAATCCACCTCCCGTTTATGCCACGTTAATTGCAATGCAAAAGGAGACCTTCCACTAAAACTTGCCTAGGCTGTGCTACATTTTAATGAATGCAAGCCTGCCTTTTGATCTCTCCGAGTCAGTTGTGCCGGAAGGTTAGTTGCATATCCTGGCTGCGCTGAAATTCGATCAGCAGAGGGGGCAAAGAAAAAGAAAAGCATTTTAACGGGAATCAATAGAGGATCAGAGGGTCTGGGAAGGAAATACGTGTTGACTAGGAAATTTATGCGAGGGTTGTTATACATGCATATATATTACACACGCACCCATATGTACATGACTTGTGTTTTTTTTTTTTTAATTAGCCCCAACGATAAATACGCCCAGAGACAATGAAAGAGAAAAGCGGGGGTGGGGAATCCAGCTTGGCTGTGCTTCGTTGTGTTTCAGCTCCAGATCGAGGAGTTCGTGCACCGCTTCCAAGCACAGAGCATACATTTAAAGCGGCATGCTCCGAGAAAGATCGCGGATATTGCAAACGGGTCGCAATAAATTAAATCTGTTTACTCTTGCGAGTGACTTTGGCTCGCCCCGCCCTCTTCCGTCCGTGGTGTCGTCGTAAGAGAAATTCCTCCGAGTTTGCACTCCTTTTAAGTTTTTACTCTCCGGAAAAGGGGCTTATGGCAAGAGCTGCGGGTGAGGCTAAAGGAAATTCTTCACTTTGAGAAGAAAAGATGATTTTCATGGCACATTTTTGAAATCGCTTAGATGCCCCCCCCGTATTTAAAAAACAAATAGGCACTGCTCAGCTTCCTACACAAACAAGAGACTTGATTAGCATAAAAATAAGCCTCCTTTCCCTTTTCGAATTCGTCTAAACGCACATTACTGCGCCCGTGCGTTCGGATTACAGTGTGAAGGAGATTGTCTTAAAAGTTTGAGAGGTCAGCAGTAAGATCGGGAGTCACAGGGATAGGGAATGGTTATTTCATTCTGTTAATTCAACACAAACACGCTCCCAATAAATAAATTAGGACCTTCAGAATTAAAAGTGCCAACTGGTAAAATAAAGCATTATGAGGAAGAATCAGATTAAACAACATTTACACTGTAAATTTTACACAGTCAATAAAATAAAACCAGTAGCAGGGACAAGTTAAATTCACAGTGCATTATTAATTTTAATCTTATTTTTTAGTTACTCTGGACTCTTTCTCAGTGCTGGATATTATTAAGATTTTGTATGCAAAAAGACATGCAACAAGATACATATTTACTCAGAAGCAAGATCCACTGAGGTCTTTATTCACAATTAAATGCATATAACTGCAGTGTTAGGTTGTAATCCTAACCCCATTTACCTGGGAGTAGGCCCCTTTGAATTCAGTAAGACTTACTTTTGAGTAGACATGGTTAGGCTTGCACGTTGCCATTGTTATTGTTTTAAATTACACAGATCCTGGGGCAAAAACAAAACCCAGTAGAGACTCTGATTGGTCCTCACAGGTCCCTAATAAGTAAACAGTGAGAGGTTAGGAAAACCATTGTGACTTACCTTAGCCAAAGTTGTTGATTAATTTTAAAATGAAGTCCAGGCACTGGTACAAAGTCAATAGGAGACAAACTGGATGGTGTTAACTGTTGGTTGAGAGGGGTGATTTTCTTATCCTAGTTCTCTGAGTAGTGGAAGGTCAGAGGGCCTCTCCAGATACCTATTAATTCATCCTTCACCCTATTCTCTTGTACAATGTTGACCTGGTGGTTAGACAGTGCATAGTCTTTACTGAGCATTTGTTCTGATTTATTTCCAGATCGGTAATATGATAATGATAATCATCCTGATTTGTGGCTTGTATATGCATTTTCCCATTAATCATTTGTTTGTCCCACATTTTTCAATGCAGTTCCCTGTCACTTTCCAAACTGCAAAAATCAAGGTTCTTTTTTAAAAAGTGGATTTGTTGTACTGGGGTGACAGAACGCTTTAAACCACTTTAATTTCACACAGCGAAATATCCAGTATGTGCTTGAATCTCTCATGCAAAAGTCTGGAGACACCCTGAGTGACTTTAAAAAAAACAAAACACCCCCCCCACACACCTCCAATTCAGGAACATCCAGAGAAACAACCTGTGTGACTTGAAAGCCTGCATACTGTATTGTGAACCCTGGTTGGCCCTAACCAAGGTATAGTTTTGCTACTGTAAATTTTGTAATCATAGGCCAGTACAGCTGCTTGATTCTGATGTCCTTTGGAAACAACTAAATCTAGAAGTTTAAAGGATGGAATCAATATCAAACCCAATTTAGAAACATCTATTTTTTGTTTTTAAAGTTTTGAAAACCATGCTAAAGTATAGTTCAGTGTAATCTGAAAGCCAGCATGGATTCATCCTTTTAAATGCATTGTTCTACTATCCCTACAGAGAGAAGATATTGGGGCTTAGGATGTGTCTGTGCTGCAGGCGCAAAAGTTCAGAATGAAGACAAAGGTTACTATGGGGGGGGGAGTATATTTGTTCAGATGTTAAAGAGTTAATTTTGCTTTACAGATTCAGATTTTCTGCAGTAAACTTCTGAAATGATGCACATTAGACACTGAAATTATAAAACAAAGGCATATCCTTTCTTGCCTGTTCTTGAGCACTTGCATACGTGATTGTAAGTTTGTTGTTTTACTCTGACTTATTTTTATGTCTTTTCTTTTCCCCTTTTCTTTCTTTTCTTATTTACTTTAACTCACTGTAATAGTCTCAATAAAATATAATAATAATAATATGCTGATGCTGATGTTTGTGCTAGTTTTATATGTTTTTGTATTTGTTTCTCATGATTGCAGACTTTTAACCCTGCTGCTGGTCCCTGGTGTGAGTGTATTCTGTATTTTTTATCACCACCGTCCCTTGCAGTTGGCTCCTTTATTCATATAGCTGATGTGATGCGTTAAGAGGGGAGAGAATCTGAATCTGCCAGCATGTGAATTCACCAGAAACAGTGGATGAAGTACATGTTTAATCCTAGGTGATGACCTTTATTAATTCTCTATTACCAGGCCCTGTTGTGAAGCGGGGTGGGGGGAGTTATACTAACATTCCCAGTGTTTTGCTACAAGTAGTACTTTTTGTTGTGGGAAACCTGTCTCTTAGATCAAAATTCACTACTTGGCTTTATTGCCAGGGGTGGGGAGGAGGTAGCAGGGCCCAAACCACATTTCATTCAAAGGCCCCTTGATACCTAGTAGGGGCGGATGTCATCGCTTTCTGCAAACACTAGAGGCCTCTGTGTAGTAACTGCTGCCGTTTGTGTGCATTGGTGTAGCTGCTGTGGGGGAATCGGTAGCCCTGCCTTCATCCTTGGGGAGATGTGGGTGACCCACATGTGCAGACCAGAGCCAACTCATGCCTGCACAGAGGCCTGTAGATGGCAGCGCAGGCTGACTCTGCCATTGGCAGAGTGCCTGGAAGTCTCTTGAGCCAGGATCAGGTTGCAGAGGAGAGCAGGTTTGTAAGTTTGCTGATTCAAGCAAATGAGCCAGGTATTTTGGGACACTTGTGATTTCCTAGAACCAGGTTTCAGAGATGAAATCTTATTCTACTGGAAACAAACAGCAAATATATAAAAGGCGGCACAAGAAAGAGGAGGAAAACATAGAAAAGGGTAACAAAACAAATGGAGCAGGGGACAAGCGTGTGGAGAAAACCTAGCGTATATTTTTGGTCTACCAAGCAACCTTTTCACCCCCAGGAGTCACACATGGCAATCTGGGGTTGCCATTTTCATACCCATGTTTACACTCACTGACCATCTCTCAGATACGTTCTTTCTCTTGCACACACAATTGTAGTAAGGAGGAAGGTGCACAGGGAGAGGAATCTGAAAGGCTTTATTTTCCCCATCATCATCATCATCATCATCATCATCATCACACTCTCCCCACCAGGCTGTTTGGCAGGCTGGGAAGGAATCTGATTTACACAAGAAAGGAAGGTACATATTAATGATAGTCCCCACGCACGTTCCTCTTCATCACAATTGCACTGCCCCCCCCTGCCAATTGATAGTCTGGGGAATGGGGCAGTTGTTAGCAGGGAGAGGCTTGACCACTTGTGCCAGGTCACAGGCCAAATCCAACTTTTGTGTTGCCCACGTATGTCCTTGGCCCCATGACAGGGGTAATGAATAGACATAAAGAGAGGGGAAATCACAACACATTTTATATTGGACACAAACATTTATGATTCACACTCCTGGCATTTGTAAAGGCTGGTCTTTGCATGAGTCAAGGTTTGTTCCGTAGCACTGAAGTATCTGAGGAGCTCAGGAGGTATGATAGCCTCTGACGTTTGATGGTATCTGGGCAAGATTACTTGAGTGTGGCTGACAGACGTTAGCTTATGCAGAGGTTCCATTAATTTCAAAGCATTTACAGCCTTTCTGAGGCTTGCAGCATCAATATCTCTTGTCCAGATGTTGCAATGCATCGCTGCAGAAGAGCATCATATTCTGTGGGGCTGAGGGCTTAACACCCTAAACACACATGGCTGAAGAAAGAACCCGATGGCAAGTTTTCACAGAAAATGTTTTTACTTTTATTGATTCATGTCTCAACTTCCATTAATCCTTTGTAGCTCAAGGAACTGTATACATTCATTCAGCTGACAATTTTGAAAATGCCAGCCTTCTAAAGGTTAATTACGTTTTTACATATTTGTTTGGTGCATCGTTTATTTTACAAAGCAGAACTATTGTAGTGTCTCTTTTATATAAACCCTGTGTCAAAATATTTCAATGGGTTTTGCATATGAAGGAAATACTACCTGTACATATTACAGGTAAAGAGAACTCTGTGGTAATCAGTGGATTATGGAGTGTGAATGCGGCGTTCGTAGATCCCCTCACTGTTCCAAAATAAAGCAGATCAGCATCTCTCTGGTCCTCCAGTGACCTCCCCATTGAATCATAGAAGGAATTCCACATTATCTGCTGTGAATGCTGGCCTTTCCCAGAGGCTGGTTATATTCATGCGTGTAGAGCTTTTGATTAGATCTGCTGTTTTGCCTATGGCAGTCTCTGCAAAACACCATTTCTCTATACATCATTTGAGCATTAGGTGTGATAAGATTGCCACTCTTTATTATATAGTATAAAACAGGGGCTCTCTTCTAAATAATCTTTTCTCCTGTCTCTCCTCTGCTCTTGTCCTACAGGGAGGTGAAAAAGAAAAGAAAAAATGAAGGTGGTGAAGGGGGAAAACCTTTCACCTCCTTAGATGCAACAAGGAACTATTTTCATTTACAAAAGCCAAAGCATGCTACATCTCACATTGTTCTAGGTGGAAGAGAAAGATGATAAAACAATGTTATTTATATTTATTTATTATTACATTTACAAAGCACCTTTTCCTCCAAGGAGCTCAAGGAGGCATACATGAATCTTCCTCCTAATTTGATCCTGAGGTAAGTTAGGCTGAGAGAGGGTGACTGGTCTGAGGCCACCCAGTGAGCTTCATGGCTGAGTGGGAATTCAAACCCTGATCTCCCGGATCTTAGTCGAACACTCTAACCATTACTTTACTTCACCTACATGAACATTGAAACATTTTTGATCCCAGAGGATGGTCTACGGCAGGCTTCCTCAACCTCGGCCCTCTAGATGTTTTGAGACTACATTTCCCATCATCCCTGACCACTGGTCTTGCTAGCTAGGGATCATGGGAGTTGTAGGCCAAAAACATCTGGAGGGCCTAGTTTGAGGAAGCCCGGTCTAAGGCTTGGGCACTCTGGCTAGATAGAGACCCCTAGTGGGGCACCTTTTGGCCATAGTGAGCCTTTGGAGGAAATGTGAGCTAGGAGAGTAATGAACATATGAAGCTGCAATTGTACTGGGCCTGCCCTGCATCCCTTCCCTTCCTTAAACTCCAGCTGTCTTTCACAAACTGTTTGGCGGTGTGCCAAGGAGTTGATGATGAAAGGTTACTGCCCTTGCATCTATTATTGAGCCCCAAATGATGCATCTGGGCTGGTGTTTATTCAGATCAGTTATTTGGTATGGCAGTAGTGAAAGAGGAGAGACAGGATATATTCTTGGGAAGCAACAAAAATTGATCTGGTTGGCTTCTTTCATCCAGCAGGATAGGGATTGGCTCAGTTAGTGATGAAAACTTGCTTCAGTTTGTATTTAAAAGAAAAATTACCTGATTCACAGTTTGTGAAATAATATGTGAACCAAAACACAGCCATCCTTTGCAACCCACACTTTTGCAGATAACCATCCAGCCAAGTGATGTGTGCAAAAATACTAGGGTTAAATGTGCACATATTAGTAAAAATAACATAAAAATACATATGGGGGAATTGCTTTGCAAAAATGTGTGTATTGGACAAAATTTCATTTTGTATTGGACAAAATGTGAACTATGGGAACAGTAGCTCTAGGAGGGACCCTTAATAAGCTACATATCCCAGGATCATTTAGGGGAGGCCATGACTGTTGAAAGTGGAATCATAGTTATTTAATGGTATGGTGTGAATATGGCCAAACATTTGGTGCTACATAAGCAGGGCTGGCTTTCCCATAAGGCAAGGTGAGGTGAGCACTTTGGACAACAGCATCCACAGAGACAGCAGATCCCAATGTAGATCTTTACTCTCCTCTTGTACCTGATGTAGATCTTCACTCATCCATTTTTCCCTGGCAGGGAGGGGACTGCCATTTTGTGGTCTGCCCTGGATGCCAGAAAGTCTTGGGCTAGCTGTATACATAAGCCTTTGTCAACCCAGTGCCCTCCAGGTGCTTTGGACATCTGTACTAGCTGGGGCTGATGGGAGTCATAATAATAATAATAATAATAATAATAATAATAATAATAATAATAATATACTGCCCTGTACCCGGAAGTCTCAGGGCAGCTCACAGAATAAAATCAAACTATACAACTATAAATACATAATCAAAATGAAAACAACAACCCAATAATCCCCCCTACCCCCCAAAAAAATATGGAGGTCACTGGGTTGTTGAAGGCTGCATTACATGGATTTACAGAGTTGAATCTGGTTGTGTCCTTGTGCTTCCTGAAGAGCTTTTGATCCACTGGATGTGCCCACTAATGGCAGGAGGAGGTGGGGCCAATTTCTGCTGGTTTGCCCCCCTCCTCCTGCAGGTAGTTGTATCACCTTCAACACTGTTCTGGAAAGCCTTCCAGTGCTCTGGAGTAGATGTGGTGGCACGAGGATGGAATCAGCCAAAAACCTCAACACTCTTCTTCCATGAAGTTGAGGGCATGTTCTTTCATATGTGGTGAACCTGTAAAAGGGTAAATGAATATTGGGAAATAATTCATAATGAATTGAAAAAAAAATGTTTAAAAGCACTTTCCCAAAAAAACCCAGAGTCCTTTTTGTTGGGAATAATTCAGGCAGAAATTCCCAGGTGTCAGAAATGGTTATTTATGTATGCCACTACTGTGGCCCGTGTTTCGTTAGCCCCCCAAATGGAAAATGAGTGAGGTCCCACCTAAAGAAGAATGGCAACTTAAACTGATGGAATATGCACAGCTTGTGGACCTAAAATATAGAATAAGGGAACAAGAAGAACATATGTTTAAAGAAGATTGGAAAATGTTTATTGAATATATGGGGGGAAATTGTGTATACTTGAAAACGAAATTGTGTATACTTGAAAACGCTGACAGCATTAAGATAAATTCAACAGTGTAAATAAGTTTTGATGGAAGTAATAATGAAATACTGAATGGTTTAGTTTATGTAAAATATGCAGGGATTTATGTTACCATGGAAAGAGAAGAAGAGAAGTCATTGATATTTTAAGGTTGTTGAAATGAATACTCTAAATTGTAAATCAGAAAATTTTAATATATATGCATATACACACTCTTCTCCTTCCACAGGCAGAGGTGCCCACTGAACATTTCCTCAAGATGCTCAGGCACCCATGCAACTCTTTAAAGAATATGGCCTCCACGTTCCTTTAATCATAGAATTGTAGAGTTGGAATGGAACCACAGGGCTCATTGTCATCCAAACCCCTGCAATGTTGGAATGTTTTGCCCAAAGTGGGGCTCAGAGCCACGACCCTGAGATTAAGAGTTTCATAGCATTCATTCTGCAAACTCTTAAGCCAGACATCCATCCATTGAACCTCTTTATCTTAGCATTGCATCTCTCTGGGCACAAGGTGTTAGATTAGGTAATTGGCCTTGGAGAGAGAAGAGGTCAACCCACTTATCAAAAGCTACACCCCCACTAATCCAAAAGCAAGACACAAAACAGAACTTTTATTTTATTTCTTACAAATGAAGGCCCATCTATCCTTGGCTGTGTCAGCAGGGATAGCCCGTTTTTTCCAGCATTGGTTGTTGACTTCCCCTGACACCATATCACAACCCATTAGTGCTAGAATCTGACAAGTCCCGCTGCAACAGCAAAATGGCAAGTTCTTAAAAAAAATGTAGTACAAGGGGACAGACACAAAAACAGCGTTGGTGTAAAAAGTTGTTGTTGTTTTAAAAAAACCTAACTCCCTTAATTCTTGATGCTTAAAAAAAAAAGGACGCTTATATTTTTTCTTTTAACCCTAATATGAAGTGGTGTATGTACTTAATGTATTGCTGTTCTTGTTTAGAATTTATGTTTTAGCCAAGGGATTGTATTGACGTGGTATATTAAGAGGATCCCTTTAGATGGTTTCGGGAAATATTTTGCTGATGCTGTTACATTGTACGTTTTATTTTCATGTGCTTCAGATAAATTAGCGGCTTTGCAGTGGAGTTCCAGATGTCTCAAAAGGAATATCTTTGCTGTTTGTTAACTGAGGTAGATGGTGTGTTGTTTTTTTAATACTGTGAAGTTATATAGTGACTGTCTGTATTGTGGAAGTTACAATAATGGGAACAGCAAGCGTTCCTAGTGATTGTACAGATGATTGCCCAGGGGAAGATGATGACAGCCTCCATAGTTCCAGTAGGCCTTGTACATGCAGAGATACAGGGCCTGAGCAAGGGCAGGCAACTTGTCAAAATCGTAGAGCCAAGGTCCCTGCTTGATATTACTCTAAGGGCTGCATGCATGCTTTGCTGTATGAAAGCCCAAGGGATGCTGAAAGCAAACAAATGGAGCCTATTAGCAAGCCACTGACTGTTGTTAGCGGCAAATGGTTAAGGGGCAGCAGCAGGAATAACAGCAGCAAGGAGACAGAACCTAGCGCAACGCAAAGGCAACTCTGAAATGAAGGCACCAGGCCTTTATTCCTAAATCAAGGGATGAAAAGGCCCAAGCTTGCATGGGATTGTATTGACTGGTGTGACCCTCCTTACCCCTTCATGTGTAGGTGAAACAAAAGCACCCTGCACACGCTTAATGGACACTCTTGCTTTGTACTACTTCACATGCTGATATGGTCTGTGGCCTATGTCAGTAAATCCCATCCAGCAGTTACACCTTCACATGTTCCAAGCCTGATTCCTAACACCAAAACAACTAAAATGAGATGAGAGGTGAAGCTTTGACTGGAGCATAAAATGGACCCAAATATTAATGTAATGTACCTACTCAAATAAAGTTAAATTGTGAAATGTTTTATTTTCAGTGTGGTTGTGTGTGTGTGTGTCTCTCTCTCTGTGTGTGTTTCACGAAGGTAGATGAAAAGTCATATTCGCTGGCTGAGAGATTTACAAAGCTACAGTGTGATGATTCTGGCAACTGAAAAACAAAGAAGTTTTTTAAAAACCCATGTGAAAACATGGGGTGATCCTGGCCTGCTGGAGAAGGCTACTGCCATTTTAAAAAGCGTCAGACTCCACTGTGGGAGCCCACCCAACTTCCTAAACATTCTTTGTCTTGAATCCTACAGAATACTTGTGTGAGTGGAATAAACTTCTGCTTGTGCACCTCATGTACCTACTGATCATCCCCAGTTGTGCTGTTTATTTGTTCAGTTCCTCACATGATTCCTATTGTGAGGAGAGGGAAAGTGTGGAACTCATCCCTGCTGCCCTTCACATGTTGGGGGCAGGAAAGGTCTGAAGAGGAGATCCTGGGTAACTATAGAATCGTAGAGTTGAAGGGGACCCCAGGGGTCATCTAGTTCAGTCCCCTACAATGCAGGAATCCTGCCCATAGCCAGAAACCCTTACCCATTGCGCCATTAGAGACAGCAAGGCTCTGTTGTAGGAAGAGTCCACATGTGCAAAATAGGCCCCCTAGTGCAAGACTCTCCTCTCCAGCCTGTTGGGTCTGGATGGGGCCAGCAAGCTTATCCTCACTTTCCTCCTCACTGCGTGTGAAAATCTGAATAGGACATGTGTAGTGTCAGATGCTGTTTCAGACAGTCCCCTGACCCTTAGGAGTAGATTTCCAGAGGCTGAAGTGGGAAACAAGAAATGGGAAAGGTCCCTTCTGTGATCAAGATCAAAACCATGCTTTTGGTTTTTAGGATCCCAACCTATGCCTGCTATCTGGCAATTTGCACCTGTCTCGCCCTGCTTTCCAAAAACACCAAATGCTCAATTTTTATCCCATCAATCTTAAGTACAGTGGACACTCAGGTTGTGAACATGATCCATGTGGGAGGCACGTTTGCAACCCACAGCATCTGCGCACACACGGGTTGCGATTCGGTGCTTCTGTGCATGCGCAAAGCGTGATTTAGCGCTTCTGCGCATGCGTGACCGCCAAAACCCGGAAGGAACCCATTCCGGTACTTCCGGGTTTCAGCGCATCCATAGCATGAAAAAACGCAACCTGAAGCGACTGTAACCCGAGGTCTGACTGTATCCAAAAATATACAAGTAACAAGAATCCTAGAGAAAGCAATAATTAAAAGCAATAAAAAGTTAATAGAATGTTTGAAACTTACAAATAATTGCAGTTATTCTACTCTGAGTAGAACCCGTTGCATATAAGCCAAAGAATAAAAAAGCATAGCATTTCATAAAAACACAATAATGTAATAAAAGGCAGCAGTGGGAACCAGTAGTAATATTGATCTATCTCATTGCTAGATTTGTTAGTTCCTTGTTTCACTTTGTGAACTGCTGTGGATTTTTTGTTGAATAAAAGTGTAAAAATAGTTGCAAGCTTAGACTGTGTAATTAATGAAATATAGACAGAGTTCAAAATGTTCTACGCACATAGCCACAAAAGTGGTGGGCCTTGAGATGAGCAAAATTCCATTAGAAGCTCATTAAAATAGTCTTTCATGGACGGGCAGGAGAGTTGCTTTCTTACAGAATGAGTCACTGTTTCCCTCCCACACACATTTAGTAGGATCTGCAGAAATATAGTCACTATTATTGTTGTTATAGTTATTAATGATAGCTAATGATAATTACATGCCATTTTACACAATACATAATCATCATGACAATACAACCTAGTACTTAGCATGTATGAAGTGTTTTTCACACAAAGTGCTTATAGCTTTTTGTTACCCAACTCCCCCCTCCATCACAAATGGAAGAAACCAAGCAAGAGATGTAACATTTCTCTTTTTTTATGCGACTTTCTGAGTGTTAAGTGATCAGGTGACCAATGAGTGGCACAGGTTTAATCATAAACAAACAAAGAAAAAGATGCTGCTTTTTGGAAATTTGAACAATAAGTGGCACTCCATCAGAACCATGGAAATTCTCCAAGCTTAAGCAACCTGCTATAATTGTGAATTTAGAGCGTATCTCCCAGGAATTTAAGCCACTGCGTTTCTTCATACCAACAGGAAACAAAAAGCTATGGAGATCTAACCTTTGTCTCTATTCTTTAGGCATGGATCTTGGACATCTAGACCCCATTGGGCAAA